ATCGAAACCCAGATTCTAGCGTTATTAGTCCGCAGACATACCGCTGTGCCACTGGGAGGGGCACAAATAATTAGGACAAGATAGAACTAAATGCAAGTGAACCTATCCACTACAAAATGAGTATTTAAATGTTACACTTACCAATCGCTAAAAAATCTATTAAGGATAAGAGAAAAAAAAATACGTTGACATAAATCCTTATGCAACAGAATGAGTCTTAAGAGTTGTTGCTTGCCAATCGTGATTGGTTTAGCAAGGACACAAAATAACTAAATTAAAATGGAACTTTCGGGTACAAGATGAGTCTCAAAGAAGTTTTACTTCACAAAATTCCAGTAAAAACAAGATGTATCTAAATGAAAATACATCCATTCCGCTACAAGATGAGTTCTAATAGGTTTTATTTACTAATCGCCAAAATCTTAGTAAAGACAGTAAATAATTAAACTCAAATGAGTGAATCTTTAGGAGACTCAATTGCTTGTTACCGTACGATTTTATTTCACCAAACAACATTCTCATCTTGGGAACAAACTGGCAACTAACTATAATGAGACATGTAGATATATGCCCCCAGTGGTTTATCGGCAAGTCTGAGGCTTATAACGCTTAAAACCGAGTTTCGACACCTGTGATAGGCACAGCATAAATAGCCTAATGTGTAACTTTGTGCTTAACAACAAACAAACAAACAAATATATTTTTAAATCAGATTAAAGGAAGATAATCAAAAGAACAAAATATTGTGGTGAAAGTTTAACTCACACATGGTCAAATAATATATTTTAATTAGTTAACATGACGAAAAAATACAAAACTATCTAGCAAAAAGTAGATTTGGCGTCTTTAGCCCGATAGTTTGTGCACACAATGTGATCCATTAGATATGTCGTGATTTAAAGAAGTTAATGTTTCATATTTAACTCTCGATATTTGTTCATAAAATAAGCAACAACATGAAATTCGATATTATCTCCAATCAGAGCATATGCTTACTTCTTTGAACTTGTATTAACAGTTTTCAAATCAATTTTATTTAATATAAGATTAACAATTTTGACAATTAGTTTTCCAAATGCAGAGAGTTAACATTGGGTAAAATATATGTTTCATTTTCATGAAGTTAAGTGTTGACATTTTTTTCCATTATGAATAGGTTCAAACCTCTAAACACACACACACACAAAATATAGTACTATATTGCTTAGGCTATATTCCTGTGTAACTATACGACATAAAAATTTCCAACAGGGCCATATTATTATTTCCTAGGATCTGATTTTTTCTACACTATTTATTACATCAATAATTTTGGAATAAAACAATAACAAAAAACAACAACATCTATATTATTAAAATGGTGAGAAAATTTACTTCTTTATAACTGTGCTAATACTGAAATAATTTCAATTATTAATAATGAATTTTAGGTTGCTCACACACGTGTAAAATCGTTTAGTCAAACGTTTGCATCTTTCCGACGTATGGAGCCCTAAACTACTAATAACTTCGAATACCCATTTTATTGGCTATCCTGTACTGCTTGGTTTACTATAGGAAAAGAGGCTTTAAGGTTCAAATCTAAGTTTTGCGGACGTAATTAGTCCTTTCCCTGAACTATAATACTCCATTTCTTGCACGTCTAGAAAATGTTAAATGAAATCATTTAAGGACTGAACGACCTGAAGCCTTTTATAATTGTATGGTGGGTCCTGAATAAAATTTGGTTCTTTAGTCAGATTATATAAATAAGTTGTTCTCGAACTTTTTCGTCTGCTGACCACGGAAGCGGGGAAAAAGACCCTGCAGATCACCTACCGGTCCTACCCCACTCACTTTCTATTCCCACTGAAAAAAATAAAAAAATAAACATCAGAATATATGGGAAGAATTAATGGCGTTGCTTTTGATGTAACTTCCATTTTAACCCGCCCGCGGACCGCCTGGAGGTCCCTCGCAGACCACATTTTGAGAACCACGGATATAGATGAATGAATGGTCAGACGAATAAATTGACAAATGGATATGCGAATGAATGAACGAACTGCCAGACGGCCGCGCAGTTAGAGATACATGAGCTGTTTCGGTCTTTAAAAATTAAAATTAAAAATGAAACCAAGTGATGAAAGATGTAATGGTAATACAAAAATTAATATGGATACTTTTTTTTCAAATAAGTCAAAAATTGTCGTTGTAGTATACTAAATATGTCAAATAACGTACTGGTTTGTTAGAACGAGCTCAGACACATTAACCAATAATATCTGGGGATTAAAGGTTACATTGAAAATTCTTCTTAGCACATTTTTTCTTCAATTCTCAACATATAATTTATGCAATTATGATCCTGGGTTTGAAATTTAATGACCACCTTTAGAGCATACTTACAGTTTCAGAAATCCTACATCCCATACGTTCTTGAAATGTACATCTTGATTCACCAGGAAGAAAAGAAAAATTAAACGAACATTTATTAGATTTTAAAAGTAATTTGTTTATGTAATAATACTTCATTCTAGACTTGTAAAGCGCTTCAGGCAACAATGCACAGGATGTCCAGAAGCTATGCTAACAAATTTATTAGCATTTATTTCTGACTATGTTGAAGTTCGTCTCGGTGGATGCTTTAAGCTTGAAGGGGTATAACGCTAAAAATTTGGATTCGATACCCGCAGTGAGCAAACTCATTGTGTAGCTTAGCACTTAAGACAAACAAACACATAAAAAAGTATATTGAAATTCATGTCAGGCGCATATTATGCTGCTTTGATATTCTATACATGTTGCAATGTACCTCCACCGGCCTAATAGAACCCTAGTAGCTACTGTGTCGCAGAAGTTTAAAGCTACTATTTGTGGAACATAAGAAAAATGTTACTGATGTAATTTCTGACACGAAGCATTAAATAGACTAAGGCAAGACTTATTGATGCTGCTGCGACAAAATCTGTTTAAAGACTTTATAAAGTCACTTTTCATGATGTTTCTCCTTCTTGTATTGTTAATTTTTATTTACTATATTTGTTTCTTTGTTAATTGAATTTCGAACAAAGCTTCTCGAAGGCTATCTTCTCTAGCCGTTCTTAATTTAGAAGCGATACACTAGAGGGAAGTCAACTAGTCAACACTACCCACCGCTAACTTTCGGGCTACTCTTTACTAACGAGTAGTGGGATTGATATTCCCATTATAACGCCCCCACAACTGAAACCCGCAAGTTGCGAATCGAGGGATCTAACCTTTTATTCAGCACTGAGCAAATTAAAAACAGATAGTTAAACTTGTTTTGAGACACAGAATGTACAAATACATTCCAAATAACTGGTTTATATTTCTATATTAGAATGTTCAGCACATGATAGATATGCACCAGTCTTTAAGAAAAACGACCATATAAATAAAACACACAGCTGCGCCACAGATATAAAATCGGCAAGACGAAGTCCTGGCAGAATGCCGGGTCAATATTAAAATCATTTATCCTTATTCTTATTTACTGGCTCTGAAAATGGGTCGTTTATTTCAAGCTTTCCTAGAACTTTTCACAGTGAACAATGAACGTTGTCTTATTGAGACCAACATATCTTGAAATAAACTAACAAATACTAACTGGAGGTCGATAACGTTGAAGTAATGTATGATTCTACTTGGACAATGCAACGAATAATAAAAAAAGTCTAGCTAATTGTCTTAACGTCATCGTCGTGTCCTTTTAAGGTTATCCCCAAAAGCTCGAACTAATCCTCACGCTAAAGAATC